AAAAACCAATAGGGGCTGAAAATAATCTGACAAGAGAATTTGGAATCCCTGTCCTTGGTGATCAAGGACAGACCCTGGCAGGTCACTGAGTCTAGCTCCCTAATTTGACACATTAAAGCAGCAAGGCTGGGAGAGGGGAAGGATGTGCCCAAGTTCATTCACATGGTGAATCAGGCTATTCCTGGGTCTCATTCAGGACTATTTCAGTTTCCACATTATTCACTGTCTGCTAACATGAGTACCCGGCAGTGAAGGACACAAGTGCAACACGTGGGAGGGACACAGAGGAGGCTGGGGGGCTGGTCTGGAAATACTTCCAGGGAGGAGGGCATGCCTAAACTGAGACTAGAAGACCCAGTGGCCATCAGCCAGAGGTGGGGGTGTTGTTGAGGGGGAGGGACTCTAGAGGGCAGCACAGCTGAGCAAAGACGGAGAAGCCCAAAAGAACCAAACAATTCAAGACAGGCTGGTGGTAGGCAGATAGGCTGAGGTGGGAGCAAGCTTAATGTGTCCAGAAGAAAGTCCCCATGGACTCAGAGTTGACAGAAGAAGGGAACAGGGTGGGCGAGGAAGCTGGGGACAGGGCTAGTCTACTCACACTTGCGCAGCTCCAGGCTCTTGCTCGGGCAGGCCAGGTGCTGGCCTGGTGGGTTCTGGGTCCTCTGCAAACAGGCTAGCATGGCTGAGCTGGGGGTCTGCAGCGGGGTGTGCTCTGCAGCAGGGTCCCTATGAGGAGGAAATGAGGTGCCTGTCACATAGGAGAAGTTCTGTACCTGTCTCCCCAGCCACCTAACTCCCTCTACTGTGAAGAATAACATGGGGATTTTTCAAGCGCACACCCTTTCCTCCATATATGACAGATGAGGAGACTGAGGCCTGAAGGTATCAGAGGCTCACCCCAGTAATAATAGCAAAATTAAAAAGGACAGACAACAACTGCTGGTGAGAGTGTGTGGAGAGACTGGAACTCTCATATACTGCTGGTGGGACTGGGATATGGTGCAGCCACTGTGAAAAACAGTACGACGCTTCCTCAAAAAGGTAGGAAAACAAATATCATTTGTCACAGTGCTAGTAGGTATATATCCTAGCGAAATGAGAGCCGTGACAGGCGTAGGTATGTGCACACCCACATTCACAGCAGTATTATTCACAACATCCCATTAATGGATGAATGGATACACACACTATGCTGCATACACACAAGGGAATACGATGGAACGTTAAAGACTAACGAAGAACCCGTGAAAACTCCTCAAAACATGGATGACCCTAGAGGACGTTGTGCTGCGTGAAATCAGTCATTTGTAAAAGACACGAGTGCACTACTATAAAAAGCCAAGGAAAGACTTATACACAGAAAGAAACATTCTTGGATGGTTACCAGGTATGGGAGAGAAGAGGTGGTGGTGGTTAGATGCCCCTCTCGAGTCAGTTTCCAACTCACAGATGCTAATGCACAACAAACCAAATATTGTCCAATCCTGGGCCATCCTCACAATTATTACTTTTAAGCCCATTGTTGCTGCCACTGTGTCATTCTATCTCATTGGAGGTCTTCCTCTTATTCGCTGACTCTCCACTTTTCCACGTCCTTAGGAGCAACTCTACTTTGAGGAGGCAGCTCTTCTCCAGTCGTATTTTCAGTGCCTTCATGGACTCATCTTCTGGCACTATACCAGACAATGTTCTACTGCTATTCATAAGATTTGAGTGGCTAACTATTCAGACCACCACTCATGTG